CTTTCTATATATGGCAGACGACAAACTGGCACACACACACAAAAAGTAGGGAAAACTGACTGAAATAAACAAAAATCGAAAGCTTTAGTTACCATGCCGAGAACACAACCTGTCACCCCCAAGTGACGAAGGTGCCTCGCTGCAGAAACAAGCATACTATTTGTATCCATTCGACACTCCTAAAAAGATGTCATCGTAATTCAAGTATACCATGCAGTAAGAATCCACAGTTTAGATAATTACAACCACCTCAGTATTGGACGCACATTTTTTTTATCCCTCCCCCTTCCTTTCCAGCTCTTGTCGGGGACCCTAAAAATAAACAAACGGTTTAAGGGGGAACTGGGACTTGCGCACGGGTGATTCTCATCCGAATAATGGCATTTTGTGTCATAGGGTGTTTATCACTCCATGTGCCGTCTTGATGGGGTTGAATTTCATTTAGTCCACAACTATGGCTTTCAGTCAATTGTCTCAGACCATTGAAATGGCACTATAGATTACAGAAATTTATATTGATCCAACGTGCATCGCAATTCCTCGAAGAATGATTTCCAGACGCTAGTTCACTACAGTGTGAAAACTAGAAAATAAAAGTGGCAAAGAGATAATTCTGTCATCTACCGTCGTGGTGGTCTATGATTTATTTCCAATGAGGCGCGATGTGGTTGTAGCTAACCATGACGACAGCAAAAAAGTTGATTGGCGGTCTTTGCAAAAGCAAATGGTTGACGTTTGGTTCAGGGGAGCCTAGCATATGGCACTAGAACTTCCTGGAGGTGGAGGCCGTCACTGCAGCTTTCTGCTGGCTATAGAACACGACACATCCACACACATCGTGATTGTAATTGTCTCAGAAAGCATGCTGAGGAAAGTGAGAACATGCAATCTTCGTGCAGAGTGGAATGCTTCGCTTCAGAGGTCACGGGTGAGGTGCATTGTCTGGATCTTTTCTCCAGACTACGCCGGTGTGTTGGAAAAAAGAACAGACAGACAAACTGGCTGGCTCTGCGCATCTTGGAGAAATGCCAATAAATGAAAAGGCAGACATGGTTAGGTCCTTGTGAGAGAACCTGTACAATTCGGAAGAGCAAATGGATCACCTCAGTCTGGTGAGAATAATGCAGCGAAGAGTGCCAAGCGGATTTGGCAGATATTTTACAGAGGAAAGGAGAGACGGACGTATATTCAGACTACTACTGGCAACATTGTTATTGAAACTCTGCGCTGGCTGCTGAAGATAGGGATGGGGTTCTTATGGGAATGCCCCGAGTGCTGTGATGTCGGTTCTTGAATTAACTTAATCCAACTCAACTCATCATGAGACAAGCCTTTGATCATCTACCACTCCCAAAAGTGGCTCAGAATACTTACACCTCACTCCCTATACCCCCTACCTCCCCCGTGTGGGTTCCGGGGCCCTATTGTAGGGAAAACAAGAATAGGCCCACTGCCTCCCCAAAAGCATGTCGTAAGAGTCGACTAACTGGGAAGCTTCCTTTGAAGTCGGAGTGCATCTGCCTGAGAGGCAAGGAACCAGCAGTCTGCATTCAATTGAATCAGATCTGTAAAACTGATGCACACGCAACACTCAGGTTCTGGAGCAGGACTGCAGTCCAGAAGTGGACGAAAAACCAGAACTTTACGCCAGAGTGTACAGCTGGTGAATGCAAAGAAGAAGACTCCCTATACCAACAGTATACCGACCTTCATAAGACCACAAGGAAAACAAAAACAGACCTAGTGCCTCCCCAACAAGCAGGTCATAAGAGTCGACTAATTAGAAGCTTCTTTTGATATCGGAGTGTATCAGCCAGAGAGGGGAAAGAACCAACAGTCTGCGTACAGTCGTATCTGTAAAACTAATGTACACGCAACACCCCGCTTCGGGAAATTGACTGGACTCCGGAGGTGGACGAACAACCAGAACGTTCCTCCGGAGTTTACACTCTGCTAAAGAAATAGAACTGAAGATATAGAGCTATATATATAACTATTTATATAGACCAATCTGCCCCTGAAAAGCGTTTCATTTTATGGTCCTCGATGTGATGGTGTCCGATTCGATGCTGGTGGTGTACACAAAAGGGGAACCGGTCTCGTGATTTTCAGACAGTGGCACGAGAATCGCGGAGTGGAGCAAATCGGATCATCATCGTCATCATCATGTGCCTGGCAAGCTGACGCAGGCGTTCATGTTTCTCTACAGATCTCGGTCATCGATCTTCTGGATCAATTCCATTTATGATATTCCTTAATGCCATTGTCTTAAGCCATCCACCATGATTCCTCTTGGTCTGCCTCTGTCTCTTCCACCAGTGATCTTTCCAGTCACCGCGATATTTTCCAGTGCTCCTTTTCTCATCACATGACCAAAGAACGGTGTTTGTCTCATTCTCATTGTTGCATATAGTGTTCTATTTTCATTAGCCAATTCCAGACGATCATTGTTAGTTATTCTGATAATCCAAGGTATTCGCAACATCTTCATGTATTATTGGATCATCATCTTCATGTATTATTGGATCATCATCTTCATGTATGATTCTTAAAGATATCAGTGGGTGTATACTAGTCAACCTTTACGGTAGAGATATGACGCGGTTTTAACGGTTAAGACTTTGAAAACAGAATAGGGTATTTCAATTTTAATTCACCCCAAACCCAACGAAATCCGGGAGTTCCCTGGCACGTTCAGTATTGTAGGAGTGTCATGGGTTGGGGTCAGGGTTAATCGGTGCTCTCTTCCTGTGTCTTGGTGCTAAACAGACTCCAGAACATTTCTTACAAAACTGTCCTCTCTTGGCGGAGCTGCGGAGCAACATATGACCACACCCAATAGACCTGACAACTAAGCTTTGGGGGAACTTGAGAGACCCTGAGATGATATCCCAGTTTATGGCTCACAGCAGATGAAACACACGAACAGTGATCGCAGGAGAAGAAGAACAAGAAGAAGCGTTAGTCGTGTGTCTGAGGCGGTCGGGCCGAAAAGATCAGTTTCATCTTCACGGCAGGGCACGCAGGCGTTCTCTTGCTGTTATCTCACCATAGGAATAAACTCACAGGGAGCAAGTACAGCAGGGATCTACCAGTGATCAGTAGAAATTATCCTCGTCGACACGCGTTTCGGCCCACGATTCCTAATTATAGTTGCAGTGTTAATTTCAAACCGTAACAACCGTAGATTTTTTTACTTTCCCAGGAACTCTTGAATTTCTTTTGTTTGGAGTGGATTGAATTAAAATACCCGTAATACAGTTGGCGCTGGTATTACCACTGCAGCAAAATACAACCACATTTACTAATCACTAGAGGTCGGTAAATGAATCGCACGACTTGGGCTCTAGTCCGACTTTAGTCGCAGAATTAACGACTTGTCACTCGGCTTGCTGATTTGTCCAGCGACTCTCGACTGGACTTGCAACTTGTAGCTCCGACAACTTGGTACGACTCGTTCTTTTTAACCGACACTGTGAGGTAGGTTTAGTGATCTGTTTCGATTTATCAACCTTTCACGTTCGACGTCTTCCGCTTTTTATGCATAGTTTAGAGAGTTTTTCCACAATGCCATTTTTGCCATATTCGATTGATTTTATCTTTATTCTAGTAAATTTAAAACAAATTGCACGACTTGCAAATGACGTGATACATGAAACTATTTGACTCGGGACTACTCGACGTGGAGCGATTTTTACTTGACTTGGGACTTTATGGCAGTGACGGGACTGTACCTGGAATTAAAGGATAACGACTTGGTCCAACCTCTGCTAATCAAACATACAAACATAATAGAGAGAACAACATGAATGTAAGTTGTCCCAAACTTTTCCAACTTATGAATTGTTAAGCAGGTTAAAGTAGTGCCTAGGATGAACCGGAACTGAGTGCGAAAATAATAAACAATGAAAGATATGCGGAGGATACCGTGTTACTGATACTAGACGAACAAGGGTTACCAAAACCTAGTGGAGAAAGTAAGCAGGCATATTGCAGAATATTTATTAGCCATTTAAATATAATTATTAACAAAAGGAGAGAGCTGTTAACGGAAAAGCAGGCTAGCAAAACATACTACACTAACAGCGAGATGCTAGTAAAAGTAACAAGCTTCTTTTTTTTCTCAGACATGCAATAAAATATAAAGCTAGTGAAGTATCAATCAAAATAATAATAATAGTTGCTAAAAATATTTTAAACAATATAGAAAGATATTAATATCTAGAGTGGTAATAAACACTCTAAAAATAACAACTGTTAAAGGTTATGTTAACTCACTTATACTGTATACAGAAATACCCGGAACATAATCAAATACGGAGGTTCTAGACAGACTGAAAATGAACAGGTAGTCATTTAAAGATCAAGAAACAAATGAACATTTTCAGCTAAATTGCAAGACACAGGTGAAAATTTTCAGCTAGATTACAAGACACAAAAGTCTCACAGAAGCTTCACTTGAGGGAAAAGTCGAAGGTAGGTGTGTAAGAGGGAGGCTTAGACACAAGTGGAACGACAGTGTGAGAAAGTGTACAATCTGTATAAGAAAGTGTACAACCGGTGTGAGAAAGTGAACAATCTGTATAAGAAAGTGTACAACCGGTGTGAGAAAGTGTACATTCTGTGTGAGAAAGTGTACAATCTGTGTGAGAAATTGTTCGGACATGCTAGAGATGCACTGCAACCAACTTTAGGCTGGCTGATTTAATAAATTAAAACCAAGACACGGCAGCGAAATAACAATACTATTGTCCCCTTCTAAACGGTACATATGGTCAGTCGATGACACCGTCATACTATGAGATTGTTGCTGCATCAGAGGACACAGCACGAATGGGTCAGGAAAATGTTATAGGATGTCGATACAGACAATTAGTAACAAATAATAATGGCAATTAAATTGGAAAAGACACCGACGTAACTTTAGCAGATACCTTCACCCGTAGCTGCTGCCACTCAACTGAATCACTCCACTAAACAACTTCCGTTAGTTGAACAACATGGCAGCTATAGACAGCGTGAGACTGAAGCTCAAACAAATAAAAGCCAAGATTAATAGTGGAGATGTGGATAAGTCAGGTACGGTTTTACTGATTCTTTTTAGGCAATGTGGAAATTGAAAAAAAAAAATAAAAAGTTTATGTTGGTCGAATGTTATGTACACGTGTTTACTATTTGGAAATTGAGACACGCTGGTTGGGCACTAGTGAGTCCGCTATCCTCCGAATAACGGTCCCAAATTATTGAGACGGAAAATATACCCTAACAGGGCCCCAGTCACGTGTCATTTGCGCACTCCTGGGGACTATAATGCCACCGCCTAATTGCGAACTTCCGCCACCGCCGAGGGTCTAAACTAGATGGCTCGGTCTCATCTCAGAGCATATAAAATGAAGGGAGCTGCAGGAGATACGATACGGTAGCTGCTGCTCGTAAGTCCCAGCCATTGCCATCTAGTTTAGCCCCAATCCACGCAGCGTAGGGGACACTCTCAGCAGTGCCGGAAGTGAGCACTTTAAGACGACGCAATTGACATATGACTGAGGCCCTGTTAGGGTATATTTTCCACCTCGATAATTTAGGACTGTTATTAGGAGGATGGCCGTAGTAGTGGTAGTCCTAACTGAACTCCTCTAAACTAAAACGTTTTAGTTTTGAGCCTTAGATAAGATAAGAAAAGAGTTTATAAAAGAAAACAATAGCAACGTGAAGGGTCACTTTATACGCTTAAGGGTATGAACAATCACTCATGGATGTTGTGGTACAGCAGCAAACAGAGCGCCTTTACTTCCCATTTTCGTAAATCCCTACTTGTGAGACCCATTTTCATTTATTATGATTTACTGTTATCAGACACAGTCGTCATCCACCTTCTACTTCTACTACTTGTAGTCCAGGAGTTGAGTTAAGAATTGACATCACAGCACTTAAGGCATTCCCATGCATGCTTCATCCTTATCTTTAGCAGCCAGCGCAGAGTTCCAATACTTAAATTTGAATATTGATGGTGCCGGTCACAATCTGTCCAAGAAAAGTTAGGAAAACCAACTTTAGTGAGAACACAATCATATGACCACCCGATCGGAGTTGAAAGACAAAGATAAAAATAAATTATTGAATGAATGAATCAAGAATTGACATCTCTCTTTGCACTCAGCTCATTCCCGTAAGTATCATATGATATGACATAGGTGATCCGTCCTCTTCGCTGTAGTCAGTAAGGGGTGCCCATACCGAGCTCACATACTGATGGCGCGAATTGAAACATGATTAAATTTAAGCATTTGCTTGTTTTATCATATTACCCTCGGGGTAGAAACTGCCCAGACCCTCTTCTTGCACCCAGTAGATAAAGTGAATCATAAAATCAACAAGAATAAGCAAATGGTAACCGCTGTCTGTTAGTGACATTTTACTGTAAGAAGTGAAATCATAATATTTTCATTTCCTTTATATATATATATATACACACACCCATATAAATTTGACAGTTTACACACACACATGTGTATGGTAACTTTTATACCACTAGCACATTTTAAGGTGCCAAAAGAAGTTACATAAAACTGCAATGTTTAACATTAAAACTGAGACCACGCTATGCCTCAGAGACATGTTGAACCAAAACATTTGTTAACTGCAGACATTCATTTACTAGTATCTGCAGAAATACTCAGAAATAGGGCTAAAATTGTATGACACAGTCACTTAAACTGAGCTTGTGGATAGGACTAAACACCTCAGATCACCGTTGGCACCAGATAGAGGACACACTAAGACAACTTATAGTGGCTTTCAAGTCATTCTCAAGTCTAACACAGGAACTTGCTATGTTGTCAAATAAGGCAGAAATTCACTTGCAGTGGATTCCGTCTCACTGCGACATCAAAGGCAATGAAAGCGCAGATGCTTTAGCCAAGGAAGGCAGTAACAAACTACAGACCTACCAGCCACTATCTTTTCCAGAAGTCAAAACTCTCATTAAGAGAAAATCAGAAACAGATTGGAAAAACAACACTGGTTATAACTACGGAAAAGATTTTCTGAGGCACTTGAACAGAACAGACCAAGTCACAGTATTTCGCATACGCACTGGACACTGCAGACTCAATAAACACTGATATAAATTAGGTATGAGCCAAACAGCTCTCTGCCAGTGTCTTCGTGCTGAACAGACTCCAGAACATGTCCTGCAAGACTGTCCTCTCCTGGCGGAGCTGCGGAGCGACATATGGCAACACCCAGTAGAACTGACAACTAAGCTTTGGGGAAACCTAAGAGACCTTGAAAAGACATCCCAGTTTATGACCCACAGTGGATTATGCGCATGACCAGAGATCGCTGAAGAAGAAGAAGAAGTCATTCTCTGGATTCCAAAGGGAAAAAGAAATAGGGGTACCTAAAATATGCAGAGAGAATAAGAGAAAATGCTCTGTAAAATTTGGATGACACACAGATATCTGTAAAGATAACAAAGACGTATTCAGATGATTTGGGGCGTTGAGAGTCAAAAGATATAAATTATTTTTAAAAGTTTGCATGTCTGTAGTCATGCCAATGTCCGTTTTTTTCTAAATCTCACCCTGCAGCATCTTTACTCATGTCCTGGTCTTTTTTGCAGAATTGAAAAAGCTAAAACGTCAGAGAAAGGAACTGAAGGCCAAATTGGCAGCATCTAAGTCGCTGAATGATGCCACAGGCAAGTGTTAATATTTGTAAATGCTTGATATTGCATATTATTGTTGATGGTTGAATCTCTCTTTTAGTAAATGTCTGTAGACTGCAGCTTATTGTTCCTTAACCGTCACTGTTCAGTCTGTTCTTTTCAGCCATGCTGACTGATGCCTTTGTAAATGATCACACTGGAATCAACATAAATAATCGTACGGATGGAAAGCTGTTCAACCTCGGGAGGCTGAAAGCAAAAACTAAATCAGACGCCATCAGGGATCTCCTGTTTGCCGACGATTGTGCCCTTTAGACGATATGCAGCACAACATCGACAAATTCAGTGATGCCTGTACTAACTTTGGGCTCACCATCAACAAAGATAAAACTGTAGCCATGCACCAGCCAGCCCTAGGGCAAAGATATATCGAGCCCGATATCACAGTGAATGGCTACAGATTAAACGTTGTCAGTAAATTTACTTATCTAGGCAGCACCCTTTCACAGAGTGCCACAACTGATTTCGAAGTAAATGTAAGGATCTCTAGGGCTAGCGTTGCCTTTGACAGACTGTACAAAAATGTTTGGAACAGAAGTGGCATAAACCTGCAGTCAAAGCTTAAAGTATACAAAGCATGCGAAACATGGACTGTGTACCAGCGCCAGGCTAGAAATTTGAACCACTTTCACACAGTCTGCTTTAGAAAACAAATGCATATCAGATGGCAAGACAAAGTACCTGATACCGAAGTCCTGGAGAAAGCACCCATGCCCAGCATCCACACTCTACTGTTGCAGTATCAGATTCGTTGGGCTGGTCATGTGGCACACATGCCAGATCACAGGCTCCCAAAAAAGCTCTTCTTTGTTGAGCTGCAAAATGGGAAAGGTTCTCAAGGTGGGCAAAAGAAACGCTTTAAGGACACCTTGAAGTCTTCACTCAAAGCATTTAGGATGAATGACGCTAATTGGGAGGCTGCCTCTCAAGACCAAAATGCATGGCGTACAACTCTACACAAGGGTGTGGCTACATGTGAAGCAAACAGAACAGCAAGATTAATTAAGGAAAGTATGGACAGAATGGCGACTGTAGGAGATCTCCTCACTGGCACCGCTCATTCCCTGTCCTCACTGTCCAAGAACTTTTCGGGCTTGCATCGGCCTTATCAGTCATCTTTGAACTCATACTTGATGAAAAAGAATGGTCATCATCATCTTGATGGACAATACACACACATTGTTCCTTAACCTCAAGGGTCAAGAACCCCTGCGACCCCTCTAGCTGTAAGCTGTGACACCTCTAGCTGTAAGATAGCTGTGACGACTAGCTATAAGATAGCTGCAACCTCTAAAGCTGTAAGATAGCTGTGACAACTGTAGCTATAAGATAGCTGCAGCTGCGACCTCTATAGCTGTAAGATAGCTGTGACAACTGTAGCTGTAAGATAGCTGCAACCTCTATAGCCAGAAGGTAGCTGCGACTCCTAAAGCTGTAAAATAGCCGTGCCAACTGTAGCTGTAAGATAGCCAAGACCTCCATAGCTGTAAGATAGCCGCGACAACTGTAGCTGTAAGATAGCCGCGCCAACTGTAGCTGTAAGATAGCCGCGACCTCTGTAGCTGTAAGATAGCTGTGACAACTGTAGCTGTAAGATAGCTGCAACCTCTATAGCCAGAAGGTAGCTGCGACTCCTAAAGCTGTAAGGTAGATGTGACCTCTAAAGCTGCGATCCCTATAGCTTTAAGATAGCTAGCTGGATATCAGGACAGTGTGTGGGTTTTCTTTACTGTTTTATAACGGACAGTTGCAGTATGAGACGGTGTCAAACTAAGACACTCCCCTCACATAAGAGCCTAATAAGAGCTTGAAAGTTCATGTTGGAGTGAGAGGTGAGTGGGTGATTTTTTATGTGGCTTCAGGAGCGCCATTGTCAAGACTTAACCAGTCAGTGAGCCCTGTCACTTAGACATAATGAAAGCAGATCCAGATGTCGACCACGCAAGCGATGGATCAATGGGATATCCAAGGCTGGAAAACCCAGCAATTATTTTGCACATGCCAAGGCTCTCACCCGATGCCTCTCTAAAACCTAAATTGAAAATGAAGAACAGTACTAGGGAAGAAGAAGCAGCAGTATTGAAGATGTGCGAGATTTTATGAAGAGTGTCTTTGTAATAAGGCCAGTTAAAGACACACCAGCAAAAGAAAAACAATATTTAATAATGCTTCAGTTTGATTTAACTTTGACTTTAGAAATGAATAACATATAAAGGGACAGATCAGATGTGTTTAAAACCAGCACATTACTGGAACATTCTGCATTCTCACTTTGTGACATACATAGTTAGAGACAGCACCTAAGGGTTTGCAAAGAGCGTTATATTAAATGAAAATCAGCTATGCTACTAACTGGCAGGTATGTCAAGCTAGTATCCAGTATATGTGAATTCCCAGCACCCAAAAATCCCTGCAACAATTAACGTTAAACTTTGTCGCCCTGTGTTCAAATCACAACCTGCACTGCACGTGGTGACAGCACTAGCCATGCAGTCCTAAATCCTCAAGTTCATAAACACCCTCCCCCTTCCTCGTTTACACTGCAGATGTGGTAAATACAGGCACTGGCAGTAATGGTAGTTTTTTGTGGGGGGGGGGGGGAGTATCCAGTGTATGTAGAGTCCCAGCACCCAGATTTACTGCAGCATTAGTTGCATTTACTTAACATTTAACCTTGTCACTCAGGAAACCATAACAATAAAGCTGGGGGGGGGGGGGGTCATATTATACAGTGCATCTTGGAAAAATGGCACCACAGACAGGCCAGATTTTAGACACAGTTGGAAGTGCCTGGTTTGAGACTTCATGGGGCAAAAGGCTAAAGGAAAAACTAGTTTTTAATTAGAAAACTTGTTCCCCAGCTTCTAGGGAGTCTTTGATTTATTTATTTCAGTATTTTTTTGTTTTTTAATCCAACAGTGTCTGTGACAACACAGAGTGATGATGTTGAAGATGATGATGATGATCAGATGGAAGAGGATCAGGCAGAAGAGGATGCTGAGGGTGGTGAAGCCCCTAGTGGAGATGAACAAGGTGTAGATGACCAAATGGAGGGGGAGGTGCAGAGTTTTACAGATACCTCATTTGCATCTCTCGAGGGAAAAGTCAGCGAAATGACCCTGAATGGTGTTGCAGACATGGGTTTCACCCACATGACGGAAATCCAGCACAAGTCTATACCATATTTGCTGGAAGGCAGGTGAGACATACAACCAACATTAACCCGGTCATTGAAGTCCTAACTCAGCATCTGGATAGTTTAGTCAGTGTATACGTCAGCTGTTGACACTAAATGTTGCTTCAATTCCTTCTTCTTCTTAACTGTAAATTCTGGAGAAAAGTTCTGGTTGTTTGTCCACTTCTTGACTTTGGTCTTGTTCCAGAACTTGAGTTTTGCATGCAAACCTTTTTTTTTTGTTTTTTTTTTGTTTGTTTAGATTTGTTTAAATATGACTTATTTCTATGCTGAAGAGTCAAACCTAGATGCCACTATATCAGTGGCATTTCAGACCATCTCTGAAATCTTCTTTCGCACCATTTAGAACCTTTGCTGGAGATATCACCTGCCTCTGTTCATCAGTTGGAGGGAGACTAGTAGGGCAGAATGCTAGAACCCTTTCTGAATCCTTTGAAAATAAAGTTTGTTCGTTTGATCCATCAGTAACAGATCTTCTCTTTCCAGTTGAAAACTCCAAGTGTTATAGGTCTGTCTGTACATTATCTCTTCTTGGTCTGTTCCTATTTATCTTTATAGAAATATTGTTGTTTCTCACAAAATGTGTACAACTTTTGAAGCATGGTCAATAACCTGTTGTTGTTGCTGCAGAGATCTCATGGGAGCAGCCAAAACAGGCAGCGGGAAAACATTAGCTTTTCTGATCCCAGCTGTGGAGCTTGTGTACAAGTGTCACTTCATGCCACGCAATGGGACAGGTGTTATTATCATCTCTCCAACAAGGGAACTGTCCATGCAGGTAACATTTGATGTCACTTGGCTATAGGATACCATTAGATTACATTTGTTTTGCTCTGCATCTTTAATTAGAATCTTGGTAATTGAATGTCTCAAACTTGTGGAGGAAACTATTTCCCTGCAAGAGGCGCTTTCCCGACTCGCTGTTGAGATGTGTTTACCAGGCGTCTAGCTTATACAATTCATTGCTTCTTTGAGATGTGTTTACCAGGCGTCTAGCTTATACAATTCATTGCTTCTTTGAGATGTGTTTACCAGGCGTCTAGCTTATACAATTCATTGCTTCTTTGAGATGTGTTTACCAGGCGTTTAGCTTATACAATTCATTGCTTCTTGAGATGTGTTTACCAGGCGTCTAGCTTATACAATTCATTGCTTCTTTGAGATGTGTTTACCAGGCGTCTAGCTTATACAATTCATTGCTTCTTTGAGATGTGTTTACCAGGCGTCTAGCTTATACAATTCATTGCTTCTTTGAGATGTGTTTACCAGGCGTCTAGCTTATACAATTCATTGCTTCTTTGAGATGTGTTTACCAGGCGTCTAGCTTATACAATTCATTGCTTCTTTGAGATGTGTTTACCAGGCGTCTAGCTTATACAATTCATTGCTTCTTTGAGATGTGTTTACCAGGCGTCTAGCTTATACAATTCATTGCTTCTTTGAGATGTGTTTACCAGGCGTCTAGCTTATACAATTCATTGCTTCTTTGAGATGTGTTTACCAGGCGTCTAGCTATACAAATCAATGCTTCTTTGAGATGTGTTTACCAGGCGTCTAGCTTATACAATTCATTGCTTCTTTGAGATGTGTTTACCAGGCGTCTAGCTTATACAATTCATTGCTTCTTTGAGATGTGTTTACCAGGCGTCTAGCTTATACAATTCATTGCTTCTTTGAGATGTGTTTACCAGGCGTCTAGCTTATACAATTCAATGCTTCTTTGAGATGTGTTTACCAGGCGTCTAGCTTATACAATTCATTGCTTCTGAGCAAACAATCAGAGTGTCAGAAAGTGACTATTTTCAAAAATATCATTTCCTAGGGTTTCCTTAAAAAAAAAATGGCTTTATTTGTAGAAATTCTAGGTTATACTTTCCCAGTGGTTACCCATTATAGGTTCAAGTAACTGTCACTTTATAATTAGTTTACATGCCCCCAGTAATGTAAGCCATTTGATTCTATGCTGCATTAGTCTTTGTTGATTACTGCCCTTACACTATGTAGTATTTTATTTTTGAATGATTGATTGTGTATGATGTTTTTGTTTTTTCCGACTTTTCCCTGGAAATTTCTGACCAAAGTCCGAAATTGGACCAACAGCCAGTACTTTCTGTCACAATTTGGGGCTTGGGAACGCTAATGAGATGAAGAATTTCACTGCCATGGTGTCATAAAGATAGCTGTTTTATAAGCTGTGGGTATGACCAAAGAGAAACAGCCTTCTTTTACAATAACTGCAGCTTTTATGCTTCAGTCCCTCAAAACTCCCCAGATCACTGACAGCAGCATCGGCACAAATGACTGGTCATAATTTTGCTCATCCACTTTTTTTTTTAAAATTTACTTGTATGAAATATAACATAAAAAAATATTGTTCTCTCAGACTTTTGGAGTTTTGAAAGAATTGCTGAAATACCATCATCACACATACGGACTGGTCATGGGAGGCACCAATCGTGCAGATGAAGCCAAGAAACTCTCCAAGGGCATCAACATTTTAGTGGCCACACCAGGCCGCTTGCTTGACCATCTACAGGTACCTAACTCATCTTCATTGTTTCTTTTGTCCTCTACTGGTCACGTCTGTCAGAAAGTCAAAACCATATCTTTCTTCCATTTTGTTGTAGTTTGCATTCATTCTTGCATACAAATGGGAGGACAACATCAAGAGTTGGACGAACAGCAGTTGGAGAGAGTGTACAACCAGGACAACAGACAGAGCATATTGGAGATCAGTTGCAAACACGTTCACTGTCAAGACAGCCCCAGATTGATAGCTTGTATTAACCGCGGTCATATTTTGTGTTTCCTGTCTGTGGCACTAATAATGATTGTTTTTAAGAATGCTAGACTCTTTCATGAGACGCAGGTTGAAGTCCTTGATAAAGTGATATATTTGTCTCTTTTGAGGGCAAGACTAAAATCCTAACCTGCACAGTTTAAGGAAACTTCACCAGCCTCGCAGCCCTGGATCCTCAGGCTCAAGACATCCCTCCCCAGACAGTTAATAATTTAGTGCTCTACATTTTCTGCCACTGATTTTTCCAGTCGTCACAATATATTCCATTGCCTTTCTTCTCATCTTATGACCACAGAATACAGTGTGTCTGTTTCTGATTGTTGTTGTTATTGATCCAGCGGCGCATGAGCTTTCACCTTTTGTCGCAATGCCATGTAGTGGAATTTGCATGTTTTCACAAGCTGTTCTTTTCCTCCGTACAAGGTGTCCCACTTGTCTGGTCTTGGAGGGAGTAGCATTCTTCTTGTCTCACTGAGTTTTGGGCACTCAAAGAGATGGTGTTCAACAGTTTCGTTAGGATAGTTACATAGCTGGCACTCTGGGGAGTGTTGTGGCTTTATTCTGTTTAGGTGTCCATTGAGTGGAGTAAGTTGTGTTCTGAGTCTGAAGATGGTGGCTTGGTCCCTTCTTGTTAAATGGTTGATGCTGTCATTAGGATCAGGGCTAGCCATGTGTCTATAAACCTCTCTTCCAGTATCTCCCATGGTCCATCTGTTCAGCCAAGTCTCTTTGTTTATAGCTCTTATAAGTGTTTTTGCTGTCTGTAGGGTTGTCACTGTAGGTTGTTCTTGTGTTGCCCCTTTCTTAGCCCGTCTGTCAGCTCTGTTATTAGCTGGTGTGCCAGAGTGGCCTGGAATCCACTGCATCACTATTCTGATGTTGTATAAAGTAATGAGCTGATCAGCATCTAGAATTATCTTAGCTAGGTCAGTTCTGCAGCATTCACTGCCCTCCAGAGCCTGAAGAGCAGACGTTGAATCGGTGAAGATGACAGTATTTTGGGCCTTTGAAGGATGAACATCCATTAAAGACTTTAGGTGGTATACTGCTGTTTCCAGTACGATTATTTCAGCTTCATAATTTGAGCAGAATTACCCACATGCATCATATATCTTCAATAGATCCATCAGGGTAACCTATGTAGATTCCGTTAACCTGCTTTAATGGTGGCTTTGAAGGCAGCCATCAGTGTAAACATGTATCCATTCTTAGGGGTAAGAATCAATGGTCTTTAGTGATGAGTTCATAAGGGTGATTGGATCGGACTGTTTAGTTTCTTCGTCTTTCAGTTTCAGTCTGACTTCTGGAGCTTTAAAGCGAGCATGTGGTGGTAAGTTTCTTGCAACATTCTGAGTGCCCTGACGTCTTTCTGGGAGGTGGTATCTGTCCTCTACGCAGTGTAAAACTGATTTGTGCTTTATTCTTTGTTTGTATTCACAATTTTCTATAAGGTGTCTATTAGGATGGTTACGATTCTTTCTAAAACATCTTTCATAAATTTCTAAAGTGGGTGGCCTTTTCTCTCCGCAACCCCAAGGGGTTCCACATTTGTGTGGATTTCACATGCAGCAGTTGGAGTAAACCGCATAGCTCCGCTGATTAATCGGAGGGCATTATTTTGTACTCTGTCAATAGACTCTAGGTTTGTCTTGGAGCAGGTTGCAAGCAACGAGTTGTTATACTCTATCACAGAGCGAACATATCCGAGATACAAGCCCCTCAGCGTTTCCTTGTCTGATCCCCAAGCTGTACCTGCAAGTGGCTTCAGTAACTGCAACTGCCTCAATGCCTTATTCCTTATGTTTTCAGTATGATTCTTGGGGCTCAGCTGTCTGTCAAGTGTGACTTCAAGATATGTAGGGTGCTCTTCTTTCATCACTTGGTGGCTGTCTAACCTTAGGTTAATATTATTCCTTGCTACTTGATGGCTTTTGGTTAAGATTGTGTAGACTGTCTTTGCACAGTTAACCTTGAGTTTCCATCTTTGGCAGTACTCGTGCAGTCTTCTAAGGTCTCCATTAAGTCTTTGGGCTCCACTTTCTATATTTTCATGACTCTGTTTCTGATAGTTGTCTATTATGTTCTGTTTTTATTCGTTTTCTCCATGTATTGGGTTCTAGGGCCCTATTTTAGGGAAAGAAATGACCTTAACAAGTAGGGCACAAAGGTTTTGCTGGGCCTGAGTGCAGATAGCCAAACCGTTCAACAACACAGCCAGCCATCCACAATTTTAAGGGCGACAGAGAAAAAGAAGCTCAATAGATGGAAGCAGGGGCAATATTTTTTTTTTTGCTTCATGTATTAATTTTTGTATGTCGTTACCTTCTTGTAAAGATGTGTACTGTTTGTGTACATCTGTTGATGCAGGGCTGTTTTGTTGCAACTGTTGGCATTGGTGTTTTTTATCCGCAGAATACAAAAGACTTCCTCTACAAAAACCTCCAGTGTCTGATTATAGATGAGGCAGACAGAATCCTGGATATGGGCTTTGAGGAGGAGATGAAGCAGATTATTCAGCTGCTGCCTAGTAAGTTGCTCAGCTTTGAGATCCTTTTTAGTTGTCTCAGCAAATCCTTCCTAGTAAGTTGCTCAGCATTTAGATCCTTTTTAGTTGTCTCAGCAAATCCTTCCTAGTAAGTTGCTCAGCATTTAGATCCTTTTTAGTTGTCTCAGCAAATCCTTCCTAGTAAGTTGCTCAGCATTTAGATCCTTTTTAGTTGTCTCAGCAAATCCTTCCTAGTAAGTTGCTCAGCATTGAGATCCTTTTTAGTTGTCTCAGTAAATCCTTCCTAGTAAGTTGCTCAGCATTTAGATCCTTTTTAGTTGTCTCAGCAAATCCTTCCTAGTAAGTTACTCAGCATTTAGATCCTTTTTAGTTGTCTCAGCAAATCCTTCCTAGTAAGTTGCTCAGCATTTAGATCCTTTTTAGTTGTCTCAGCAAATCCTTCCTAGTAAGTTGCTCAGCATTTAGATCCTTTTTAGTTGTCGCAGCAAATCCTTCCTAGTAAGTTGCTCAGCATTGAGATCCTTTTTAGTTGTCTCAGCAAATCCTTCCTAGTAAGTTGCTCAGCATTGAGATCCTTTTTAGTTGTCTCAGCAAATCCTTCCTAGTAAGTTGCTCAGCATTGAGATCCTTTTTAGTTGTCTCAGCAAATCCTTCCTAGTAAGTTACCTCACTGTTTAGATTTTCCCCTGTAAGTTCTCAACATTCAGATCATCCCCACTAAGTTATCTCAACATTCAGATCCTCCCTAGTAAGTTGTCACAGCTTTGGGATCCTTTCTGGTAAGTTGTCACAGCATTGGGATCCTTCCTGGTAAGTTGCAACTTGTATTTCTGGTCAGTATCTCTAGGGGTCATCCACAGCACTCAACTGTCATTTGCTGAATGTTGTCCTCATCAAAACTGGCAACTTGCCCTCATCACAGCCTCATATTAATTCTAGAGCAATTTTTTTATCCAACTATTTGTGTTTGCAAATTTTAGATCAGGCGTTCGCCCTTCTTGGAGTCATCTCCAAATGGATTTTGGTGCCAAATGAAGTTCTGCCAAGCCTTTTGTATTCATGTTTTCTATTAGATGGTTTTATTTATAGAAATTCCTATGTCATATGGCAAGCGATAAACACCCAGTGACACAAAAGTGCCACAGTTTGAATGAAAATTGCCCAGGAGCAAGTCCCAGCAACCCTGTTCAAACCGTAGGCTATATTAGGTCCCCGGGTGACAAAAAAAAATTAAACAAAACTGCCTTCCATATTGCGACAGGGATGAATAAATACACCTCTACAACCTTAACGTGTCAAGGATGTTATGTTAACTGTATGTAACATTACTGTTAATTATGTATGTGTCTGTATCTCACGAGTTATTTTAACCTCTGGTTTGCTAGTTGGCTGAATTACTTACTATGTCGTAAAATTATGTTTGTTTAAGAAGTTTCACCAGCATGAACAGTTTGAAAAGCTCTGCCCTGATGGCAAATGTTCATTTAATTTTTATTCATTTTATTACATGGCAGTGAAAGAGATGTATTCTAATAGACTTTCTGTGTGTTTATTCCTCTTTTCACAGAAAAGCGACAGACCATGCTGTTTTCTGCCACACCAACACGGAAAACCGAGGATTTGGCCAGGATTTCTTTAAAAAAGGAGCCATTTTATGTGGGAGTTGATGACAAAAAGGATAAGGCAACAGTGGAAGGTTTAGAGCAGGTCAGTACAAATGTGATTCAGTGATTGTTCTTTTTCTAAGGTGTAATAATAATAGACAGCAGAATGGTGATTTTGCATATACAGGCTTTGGATAATGTCCATGTTTAGCACTGGTAGCTCAGTGTTGAAATGAATGACCTGTTTATAATGTTTCTTTGCACTTTTAGGTATGTTCTAGATTGTAGAGTCCGCGCTGCCATAGCCACTGACCCTTTGATACGTCTGGTCGAGTTGGTGCTCACTATAAACTCTTTTGAGTTTAATGGCCACCATTTCAACATCAGCTGTGTCATTATGGGCACCAAAATGTGACCTATCTATGCCTGACTCTTTATGGGCTACCACGATCATCAGATATGTCATGCATATACCAGTAGTCTCCCCGAGCTCTACGGGAGGTATATCGATGATTGAATCGGTATCACCGATATGCCTCTACCTGAACTGCATTTCATTTTTTTAATCCCACTTTTATCCCAGCACCCCATGCACTTCCAGCATTTCACCTTCGTTGGTACATTTTCTGGATCTCACTGTCATCGTGGTTTTTTAAATCTGCCCTTAACATTATCATTAGCATAAACACAAGTCACTTCCAGCCAGTATCAGTCAGCTGGCTAGTCTTTTTTTGAAAAAACTAAGTTGGGTAGAGTTAACAGCTGACATAGCACTCTGAACATTCCCATAAGCGCCCCATCATCATGTTCAGCATCAAATATCCTGTTCCTTTTCCGATGAGACTAGTAGGAGTTTTTTTTCCTCTCACCTTTCCATTGAGTATTAGGCTTCAGCCGGATCACCTGGTCCTTCCCCACTGCACCATTCTCTTCAGGCAGTCATGATTTACTTGTGCCTCCACACGTTCACTTGCTGAAACTCAGTTAGAAATTAAACTAGGGGGATCTGCTGTTAGATACACTGTCCACTTGCTGAAACTCAGTTAGAAATGAAACTAGGGGGATCTGCTGTTAGATATACTGTTCATTATTGTATAGAACTGTGGACAGAAGTAAATTGGTTTCAACAAGAAACAGAGTCTTTTGAGATGGATTATTTTGGGAAATATGATAAATCCCTTAGCAAGAGAAGAAAAGAAACAACTAAGAAAATAAGTTAAAACATCCATTCATTTCTTTGTTTCCATTCAGCATTTGGCTGTTGTTTACCATTGATTTTGGTAATGTGCTGTCTTGAATAGATTAGCCATGTTCTTTGTTTGGCAGGGTTATGTCGTGTGTGAACCAGACAAGCGGTTTCTTCTGCTCTTCACATTCCTGAAGAAGAACAAGAAGAAGAAGATCATGGTGTTTCTATCCTCATGTATGGCGGTCCGGTTCTACAGCGAGCTGCTCAACTACATTGACCTCTCTGTTATGTGCATACATGTAAGTAAAAAAAAAAATTATACATTATTGTTTTGAATGTGCATAATTACTTGGCAGTTAGGCGTTTATGTTACTGTCTGTATGTTACTGACTGCATTCACCCCGTTCAAGGCGGTGTAGTACAAGGCTGTTTGGCCAGTGCAGTCAGTATCAGGTAAAAATATGGTAGATCTTACTGTGTTTTCTTGGTTAGTTTATGTTTGCTCTGTGTTGATTATCACCCCCCGAGTGATGATAACATCACAGATTAACAATTGCTAAACGTGAAAGTACCTGTGTGTTGATATTAACCCTTTGTCAGTAAATTTTGTAAATGACGCTTTCTGTGCCTTCAGACGTATTGGGCATCTAGGGCTAGACTAGTATTTTATAAACCAATCAGCACTTGGAGGGTGGTATGGTCAGCATCACATAGGCCGCCTTTACTTCCCAGGACTCCACCTGGTTCATATTCAAGGCAGGGTTGACCTGGGAGCCAAGGGCATCTTGAAAAAAAAAAAGCCTGGAACCGCCGGGACCCAAACCTACGACCTTCCAATCCGTGGGTGGGTGTCTAGCCACTAAACCTTGGCGACTTCCCAGTAGATTTTATGTATTTACAATTTCTGTATATGTTTACAATATGTTTAATATTAACATTGCTAATAATTTTTACCTCAACTAGTAAGCTTCAGCGTAAGCACCCATGTGTTTTGCCAGTTGGTTGTAGACAAATGTTATCAGTAGATTTTCCATTGACACATCAGTCATGGACTCTCATGGTCCCGCCAGCCAAAAGTGTGTGACTCAATGACATGTCTCATACTGTTCCCCCAGGGCAAGCAGAAACAGACGAAGAGAACACAGACATTCTTCCAGTTCTGCAACGCTGACAGCGGCATCCTGCTGTGTACGGATGTGGCTGCTCGAGGCCTGGACATCCCTCAGGTGATTGGATTATCCAGTATGATCCTCCAGACGATCCCAAGGTGAGTTGCTTGTTGTTGACTGCTTTTGTTTCACAACATTGAATTGTATAGGAGATGGAAACTAATTATCTCAGAAGGTTGTATGAAGTCTGTGTTTGAAAGTAATGTGAATGAAAAGAAACTTGATAGTTAGGCTTTCATGACTTATAATGTGGCACAGTGTTCTCAGTCACAGGCACGAGAGTAGGTTAAGGCCATTGTGTTTTGTATAAGGAGTTACTCTGTACCTCACGTGGGGTGGCAGCTGGCTCTGCAACTAACTGTTGATAGTAGTCAGTCACAGTAAGTTGGCCATACACACAACATTATTACATAATGTTTTTCACCCTACGTTTATCTCATATGGGTTCTAGGACTTAATTTTCTGGGGAAAGAAAATGAAAAATATATAGACCTATTGTTGCGCAGCAAGCATTTTGTAAAAGGCGACTGAATAAGGATTTGCTGAAAGGTAATTACACATATTACAACCTAATTGTAAACTGCAACAAAGTTTTAAAGGCAAATTAAGAAAAAGAAGAATCTTTTGGAGTGGGTATCATAATTACTTACAGTATCAGTTGTCCCTAGTTAGATACAGAAAACATTGATGTTGTTGCATGGAATACTCCACAGAGTTTGGCTAGAACAGCCCAGAGGAGAGGGTGCACACGGCAATGCTTTGCGTTTTCTTGAACCTCAGGAATTGGCTTTTTTTAGGGTTCCTGCGACAGGGGCGAAAGTTTTCAGGTCAACGAGTTTAGTGTTCCAGTTTTCAGTGGAGCACAGGTGGCCAACATACAGCACAGGTCAGTACCTGTTTGTATTTTCCTGTTGAACAAATAAATGACAATGAAAGTCAACGAGGATGATTTCATTGCATCAGGTTTTTCTTTTCTTGGGATCCATTAATTTATTAATATAATTTTCTTCTCTGTATTTTTCTTTTTTTCTATCCGCTCATCCTGCAGCTTAGTGTATCCTTTACACATGGCTGTGCGTATTTTCTGTTTGGCGCTACCACACTCTGATTTCTCCAGTATTTGTTTGCCTGGGTTTAGTTTTTTGTGAACATTGAAGTCTTATTGTTTGTATGGTCATCTTTGCGGATTTCCTAGTCTGTAGCGTGGTCCGTATCAGGGCTGCATATATTGGTCACCCTGGGAGAAGGAATGAGCAGCAAATGATCATTCTCCACCATCCAATAAGGCTTCCATAAATTCAGAGCCCAAAACATGTAGTCCTGTTTACTGGGCTTCACCAAAGGAAATCCTGCACATCTCTGACTTGCTTAACTTTGCTTTCCAAATTTTAATCCTCTCCATTCCGCACGGGCTGTGCCTTTAGAAGGTCTACATACATGAGATTTTGACATACAATGAGTGCTTTGCTTTTTAATGCATGTTAGCCTTTTTTTTTTGCTTGTGGATATATGTGTCCCGTATATTTTGTTCAACTGTTTTGTGTGTTGTTGATTATGCCCCTTCATAATTTTGTTTACCTGGATTTTAAAAAGTCTGCCTTTTTAAGTGACCGTGGGTGTCGTCACAATGTTCAGTGTCCTAGAATGCTTGCCCTGCCACTCAATGTTCATATATTAAACCCATATTTTTCCTTAAGAAGTTACTTACTTTACTTACTTACTTAGTCCTCCTCTTCTACCCTTGGGGTGTAAGTCTTGCCAGGAGAGATCGCAACTCTCTATCATCAGTTTTCTTTCTGGCTTTGTTCCATTCCAGTCCTCTTTCCTCATGGACTGTCGTATGTTGTCCTTCCCAGGCACCCTTGGGTCTCCCGGAGGGCTGGTTCCCTGTTCTAGCCTCCCAAGGCTTGCCATGGTGTGGCCGATTTTCCTCCATCTGCACACATTTTTCCCAAACCATCCGTACTGTGCCTGATCCACTCGGGTTAGTAAGGGCTGGGTATCAAGACTTGACGTATTGGTCCTGATTGCGGACCTTTGTCCCCTTTTTGTCACTTTGGGCCACCCTTTTTCGTATCCTTTTCCCAGGCCCCTGCAGCTGGTTCTGTGACTTTTGTCATTTCCCCCTTCACAACCCCTAGGTCAAAAATGGTACATAGGTAAAAGCGGTAAACAGCCCTTTTCGTCCTCTTGCCAATTTTTTCTTTTGCTAAAAAAACCCCCGGTTTAAAGGCCTGGAAGAGTCCCCAGCAGCTCCCTTTTTTTGTTTTTGGGTCTTTTAAAGCCTTTCCCTTTGGCTAATACAACTCCAATTTATTTGAAATGGTTTAAACCCGCTCCCAAACC